CAAGCACAACAAAGTATAGATAGGACGGTACCCCAGCTTGTTTCCATGGTGACAATAATTTTGTGATTTCCCATAGTAATACGTCATCCTAGTCGGTTGCTATATAAAGTTGTGATAGTTTCTGATAATCTAGTGAGTTGAAATTGGGAGGTCTCTAAAAAACATTTTAATAGATTATATGGTAAGGAATGATAATAGGAAATTAAGCAATCCACCCACTATGCAAGAAAACTGCAGTCCCCATCACCTGAGGGGATATTCATCCTGCAAATCCCCAGGCGAGTTCTTGGTAACAAATAGAAATTGTAAATTTTTTGATTATGTCTTATTGTATATCAAACATGCATGTTATTCAGATGTTAAAGTTGCTCAAATTAATCACTGCTTCCAGCTTTTCAGGTGAAGCTCAGAGTAATTTGCTAGCGTAAATAATTAACTGTCAGTATTGTCAATACTTTTCTAAGGTTGTCTGGTAAATTTGCTCATTTATAAGCTGTGATGTTATTTAAGGAATGAAGGATGACAAACTGCCTATTATTGCGTGATAGCAGGGCAAGGACAGAGTTGTGTGTAATATACAAATAATTGTTACTGTAGGTACCGTGCGTCATATTTCTAACAGCTGGTAGACTAGACTATATTTATTTATGTGTCTCTGTCCGTCTGTCCGTCTGTCCGTCTGTCCGTCTGTCTGTCTGTCTGTCTGTCAGCAGCATGGCAGTTTAGTGTTCACTTGAAATTTTCTGCCTTGTATTCACCATTCTACTGTACATTTATGTCAGACTAAATGTAACCTTATTTTTTTTCTTTAGAGACAGACGTTGTAGTGATCTGATGTCTAAAGTGAATTCTAGCATAATGTCAAGTAAATCCTGACTTCATTTTATGTCCAGGTTTTAGTACAATTATTCAGTGAGATTTTCTCTAATGTTAACATACAGTAACACAAAAATCTGACACCATGCGGGTTTTGATAATATAGTTCACAAAACTGCTTTTAAAAAGATGAGAAAGGTTAATAAAGGCTTTACTAAACACCAATTAAAGATTCTCATTTGTGTATTTGTCAACAAATCT